GGATGTCGATCGCGGGCTCGTACTCGCCGCTCTCCGCGGCGGGGTCGAGGTTGACGAGGTGCGCGGCGCGCTTCGCGGTGTGCAGGTGCGTCAGCAGCGCGCTGCAGAAGGTCGACTTGCCCGCGCCCGCGGGGCCGGTGACGAGCACCGCGTAGCGCATCGTGCGCGGTTGTTGGTTAGGGGGTCGGGAGGATGTGGCGGGAGGGATGTGCGGGACGAGCTCGCCGGAGCGCACGGCGCGCATGCAGATTCTGCAGATTGGAACTCCGCTCGAGCCTCGCCGCTGCGTGCAGATATCCGCCACCACCACCCCCTCGCCGATCTCCTCTCGCCCACTCGCCGAGTCTGCCACTCTGCAGTGTCCGTGCATTCCCCCGTGCAATAAATCACCCCGATCACGCATAAGATACCAATAACGCGCGCATACAATGTCGAAGCCCGCCATTATCCCCGACACGACCGTGTCCGGCATCGCGGTCGACCCGCGCACGCTCGAGCGCGTCGTCCCCGAGTCGCGCAGGCCCGACGGCTCGTACGTCCCCTCCCGCGCGCCCTCTGACCTCCCGCACGCCGTCTGACCGCCGCCCCGCCACCCCATACTACCACACCACGCCCCTGCACGCCCACCACTCGCTGCACGCCGCCAGCATCCGCAAGGAGCGCAAGATCCGGCCGGGGTTCACGCCGCAGGAAGACGTCCGGCGGTTCCGCGGGACGCGCCAGCAGCAGATGGACGCGACCGCGCTGCCCAAGGGGCACATCCTCGGCTGGGCGCCGCCGCCGGCCGCGCCCGTGCTCCCCGCGTCGAAGGCGAGCATGAGCAAGGCGCAGAAGAAGAACGAGAAGCGCAAGGAGAAGCGCAAGGAGAAGCGCGACGAGGAGACGAAGGTGAAGGACAGCTGGGAGGACGAGGACGAGGAGGACAGGGAGCAGGCGGGCGCCAAGGACGCGCGGAAGGCGGATGGAGAGGGAGAAGGCCCGCGTGCGAAGGAGGGTGAGGCGAGAGCAAAGCCAGACGATGCAGATGCGCTCACACATGAACTCAAGAAGCTGGAGGTCCGGTGAAGGGTGCGTCGTGTATTATAATTATAGTGCTCGTGCGAGCGGTGTGGTGTAGTAACATATGTGTGTACGAGTATGCGGGCGATGCGATGCGATGTGCAAAAAGGGAGTGTGGTATGCGTCGTAAGTCTATAGAAATGGAATAATGGGATAATTGGTGCAGTAGAAGATATTGATTGATACATAGTCCGTTCCGCGCTACGCTCCCTCTGTCCTGGATTTGCCAGCAATGAAAGGAGGGCCGGGAGTTGATCCGTCTACCAGAGATGGAGTCTACCACTCAAATTCGGTGCTATGTAGCACCCCATGCCTCCCCTTCTACGTTATGCACTTCTGGGACAGGCGGAGGTGTGGGTGGGGGCGGCTTCGACTTTGTCCAGAGTAGTTCCATGGACATAACCATCAGTACGAGGAAGGCAGACAATGCAGCTGGACAAACGATCACAATTAGAACATGCACAAGTATATACTAGTTGCTCGTTCACGCACCAACTGATTTGCGCAGGTTCTCCCAGCGTACTTCTTCCATAGTCGATCGCAGCTCATACAGCGATACCAGAGACTTGTTCAGGACCTCCTGCAGATCCACAGCACGTGTCAGATAGTAAACCAGGGTGGTATGAGCGGGACTCGCCTCGATTTGCAGGTCCATGCGCTTCAGGTCGCCTTTGGCTTCGTTCCTCCTGCTCTCCATGTCCATCTGGATCCTGCGTGATAGATCATAGCTGATAAACAGGATCTGTCACTGCCAGATGACGTATCACGTACTCGTGCTTCAGCGCGCCAACGTCCTCCTTCATGCGCCCGTCGAGCTGGTCAACCTCGCGCCGGAGCGCAGCGGTCGCAGTGCGCATCGCCGCAGTCTCGTTGCGCGTCAGCACGGTCGTCTCCGTGCGCAGCTCCGAGAGCGCGGCCTTGAAGAGGTACGCTTGCTACACGCGGACGTCACGCACAACCACAAGCACGGGAAGTCGGCTACGCACGCTCTCGAGGTCCTTCACGGTCAGCGCCTCGCGCCGCACCCGCCCGATGCGGTCCACGAGCAGCGCGCGCGTCGCGCGCATGAGGTTCCGCGCCACCGGGGTCGGGAATGTCCTCTCCAGCGCGGTGAAGAACTGGTGCGTGTGGAAGGGCGGGTTTGAGTACGCCGGCTGCGTCATAAGGCCGGGGCCATGGTGTGGCGTGGGGAGGTTCGTGGTCTGCGGGGGTGAGGGGGGTGAAGGCGCGTTCGGATCGGCAGGAGAGGGCACCGGGGCGGCACTTGCACTGACATCGACGTCACCTGGTCCAGCATTGGGGTAGCTTGGCACGCCGCCGGAGCCACCAGAGGAACTCGAGCCAGGACTGGGATCGCTGAGGACGGCAGGGTCGTGTGGGTGGGCGAGCGAGATGGAAAGGGAGGTGGACCCGGAGGCGGGGGGGTCGGAGATGGCGGGCGTCGAGATGTGCGCGCGGCGGGGTCGCAGAGAGTACCGCGTGGAACGTGGCGGTCGCGCGTTGAGATGGCGCGGAGAGAGGCGGCGGAGAGGCGGCAGCTTGCTGGAGATCATGGGAGGAGAGAGAGGGCCGACCCAGCGCGCCTCGGACGATGTCACTTCGTGGTGGCGCTGCAGCCTGGGGTGCCTCTTTTGGGCATCGCAGCTGGGAACGAGCCTACTCCTGGGCGTGCTGCCAAAAACGGCGTCTCAAGTTGGACCGTGTCCAATTAATGAATTGTTTGCAGCCGTACACTTCCTTGCACTTTTCGAGCTTCTTTGGTCTATCAACAGAGATGCTTGTTCTCAACAAGACCCGAACCTGCTCTCGCCCCTGACCCCAGCGCTGCTGACGAAGTCCAAGGGCCCTTCAAGCGGCCTATGCTCTCTGTTCAGATCAAAGTCGAGGATGATGATGGTGAAGTGTTCAAATGCGAAGAAGAACCTCATGTGCTGAAGCCTGAGTATGGCTTCGGCTATTATCTTCTCACTCTGGGCCAGAAGCTGGACGACGGACAGTTGGAGGTTGTGCGAAAATTGGGCTTTGGCCTCAACTCTTCCGTCTGGCTTGCGAAAGTACATGGGTGAGTAGTCGGTACGGCGTCTCGCTAGGTGTCTTTGCTGATCATGAATACCCGCAGAATATGCTTCCGTCGAGGTTCTCGCTGTCAACGCCACCGCAGGCGTGGTGGGCGGTCATATCAAAGAGCTCGACATCCTCAAGCGCATCAGAGGAGCCAACGTGACCATCCAGGATACAAACACTGCCTCCGCCTTGACAGGATATTCGTTGCCATGAGTCGACATGGTCCGCACCTCTGCGCTGCGACAAATGTACTAGACGCGAGCGTCAACCAGCTACTGGTCGATGGGCCAGGTGTGCTTCCGTTTGTATTCGGGAAGCGCATCATCAAACAAGTCCTCCTCGCTCTTGATTTTCTCCACCGAGTGTGACCACGCTCATACGGGCATGTCTCCTCGCTCTCTCAGCGTGCATCATTTCTTATTGTCGCCCGCTCCCTCCGGATGTCAAGCCCAGCAATACTCTCATGTCGCTCGAGCACCAGGACGAGGCGATCGATGATGCCCTGAGGACAGAGCCCTCGGAGACATATGAGCCCCGTTTTGAACCTGAACTCTCTCCCGACCCAATCCTCACTGTCCGATCCCAGCCTCTCTTCGATGTCGCGTTCGACGAAGTTGCGCTGGACAATGCAGACTTCCGCCTGGCGGATTACGGCAGCGGTGCGCAGCAAACACCTGGCTTCATCCTTCTGAGCTTGAACTCGAGCATCTGCAGCCGCCCCTTATCAATAAATGCGGGGAGCATGCTGTTCAACCTCTGCTCTTCCGTGCCCCGAGGTCATCCTCGGCTACCCGTGGTCGACCGCCGTGAACATATGGTCTGTCGGATGTCTGGCAAGTCCTTCTGACCGCATTATCTCAACTCTGGCTAAATGCCGCCGGATAGGTGTACGAGTTTCTTGCAGGCCGCGTCTTATTCCAATGGCTAATTGTACGAGACATCACGTGCCGGCCTAGCGGATTCGCACCTTGCGCGGATCATCGAACTCATCGGCCCCTTCCCCCAAAGTTTCCTTAGAAAAATTTCGGCTCCAGGACGAGTTCTTCGACAAAGAAGGTGATTGCAATCCGGGTTTCCCCCGGCCGAGGGTGCTGACGCAGTTTTCAGGACGTCTCCTTCGCATCGACAACTTGTCTCCCGACCCTATCGAAGAGCGCCTCCGCAAGTATGCGTTCATATATAAGGACGTTCCGGGAACGGCAGCGTTTATCCGGAGGTGTTTGACGATTGATCCTCGTGACAGACCCACTGCCCAGCAGCTGTTAGAAGATGGCTGGCTCAGAGACGCATGACTTATATCTCGAATATATTCTCGTGTTGTACTGTGTTTTCTTGCCGTATTGTTGTTCTGTTGTAGCATAGAGCATGTAGCTACGTATTCATTTATTGTACGCAGAAGAAAACGCCAATATGTAGCGACACTGTAGGCAGGTGGGATTGCGCGCACAAGAGGGCACGGTTTCTCCCGCGGGGGGTAGCCCACAGCTGGCATGCGGCCTTTTTGTGACTGGGACGCTCAACCTTGTATCACTGTGGGCATCACCCGATGTACCAAGCGGGGAAATGCTGAGGACACCGCAAGAATAGAATATATGGACTCAGCATGGTCTTCCTTAGGCCATGTTGGCTACATTAAAAAATCTTTCTAATTTCTCCCTGTACTCAGCGCTCACTCACTGAAGTGTACTCAAGATGTACACTGACATTTAACATGCACTCAAACTCGGCCTCTCACGGATATGCCAAGTACGGACGTTCAGATACCGCTTCTTGGAGGTCCTCCGCCTCGCCTGCATTAGGCCAGGGTCCAATCTTTACGAACGGTTATCTCCACATTGTATAGCATTGTATAAAATCTGTAGCAAACCGCAATCAATGGCCATATAGTGTAGTTGGTTAGCACATGGGATTCTGACTCTGTGTGGAGTTCCCATAACCCAGGTTCGAGTCCTGGTATGGCCTGCGTATGTGTACCTTTTTTGGTTTTCGGCCCTTCTTGATAAGCCAGACCATGTGTTGTCTATGTATAGCGGCTTGCATATTCACACGGTTATCCCGGCGAAAACTCGCTAATAAGTAGAGTTATGTCCTTATGAACGGAACCTCACTTCGGAGTCACTTGGTATGAGGCACACGCCTTTTGGACCCACGATGACCATTGACGTGCTGCTCTACTAGGTTCTCGACTTGCGCTGCCTTTAAACGTGCACCTTCGCATTTGGGGTGACATACTGACATACGGATAGATGATCATTAGAGCACTTGCTACTTACTAGTACCACACTCGTTCGGTTTGTCTCCAAGCGATGTGTTTGTACCGAGGTTACGCGGACTTAACGCTTTCTCCATCTAATCCCGGTGCCCATCTCGACCTGAGAAATCTTTAATGCAAATGCAAGAGCAAGGCGGGGAATATCAGACTAAGACGTATAATACGAACAAAGATTGTAGCTGAGGGGACGGGTTTCGGATATACTCGGTAAATTACGCGCTGTAACGTAGCATCGACAGGTTCAAGAGGGAATAATAGCACCAACGACAGGACTTTTTGGAATGATGGACCTGGTCTGTTGATGGCCATCATATTTTTGATGATCCTCTTCATTCCAAGGGGCTCCACTTTGTCACTACCTTCAGTCCTCTGTGCCCCCATTCTCTACAGCAACATTCGTATTAGGGCACGCAACACGCTTTCCCTGCTCGGCTTCCAGTAAAAGATCAACCTGGCGTACGATCTTCTCAGCCGTAGCGATGGCTTCAACTCGCGCCTTTCTCTGCACAAGGCTTTCGCGTCGGCCCTGCCACAGTACCGACAGGTCCATTTCAACCTGTATATGGTCTGTTTTCAATTTAAAGTCCATGCACGAGATGTTTTACGTATGGGATGGGAAACTGTTGGAGAACGATAGAAAATGTGCGCACCTTCCGTGCCAGACCATAGTAACCATTGAGTTCTCCTTCAAGCGTCTTGCCAACGGCCGCTGCAGCCTCGTCGAGACGCAACATGAGCACCTCCGCTACGTCCTCAAAGATCTCGTCCTTGACCTCCTGGACATAATTGTGGAACACTAGCTGCTTGTCTATCAGCTACGGATATATTCAAGCACTCTAGTAGACGCACCTTCTGCCTCGCGACACTACCCATTCCGCGCTCCTTTATAGCACGGTCATACCCGTCCACAAGCAGGCCTTGTACATGTGGCACAAGGCACCTGCTCACGTCCCTCTGCTCCGTGGTTATGGTCTTCTGAACAAGCTGAAGCGTCCTTTTCAGTGCAACGCGTGCATGCTCAGCACATATCTCCGCCTGTGCTCTGGCACAGTCCTTAAGACTGTCCGTGACCGAGGCCTCAACTTCGCCTACCAGTGTCTCGATAGTCGTCAGCGTGGATGTCTCAACGGAGGCAAAAAGGTCGGACTCGAAGATCTGCGACCATGTGGACGCAATGTTCCGCATGAATGGGTTTGTCAATTCGACGTTCAGGTCTTCATACCATGAACCATGACGGCGCAGGGCTAAAAAGTGGCCAAAAGTTAGTCTAGAAGAGTGTGTTAATCATCATGCATCTTACTCGCTCGATAGGAGGCCCAGTGCATCGAAGCAGCAAACTTATCTGATATTTCGACGGCTACATTAGCAGCCTAAAAGAGAACCGGTAAGTGCGGGATATCTCCAAAGCTAAAGGAATTGAACTACATGAGCAGCGCCAACTTCACACTTCTCTTCCAGCCCGTCCTTGAACCGACATTGCAGCTCTTGAACGCGATCCTCGACGACCTTCTTGAAGTCCTGGGTTTCATCTGTTAGCCTGACAAGCCGAATTTGTAAGAGATATGATGCTCGCCTTGATCAGCCGATCAGTGATATCGACCTTCGTCGACTTCCATTTTCGTCGCAGAGCCTCGCGGTCCGCAGCGGGTACCTCATCAGAGCTGCTCGCATATGTGTGTATGGAGTTTGCAAGGGTTCTGAGGTCGGTAAGAAAGTTTCGCACAGCGTGCTTGCGTGATGGCATGGTGAGGTAGTGGCACCATTGCTGAAGCTCCGGGATGCCGGTGTACTCGATCTGAGAGAAACATGTTGGGCTGCCATCGCCCTGAACTTGCCCTGTAACGAACCTGTCAGGTCTACGGTCCGGTCGTTGATGGTGTGGACAAACCCGTTATGCGAACATAATCCCTCGCTGTGCAAGTGAATACGGGAAGGTCAATCATGTCGTAGTCTGAGTTCTGAACGTAAGGTCTATATCTGCTGCATTGGAGAGAAACCTTACTACGCTGGTTGACAGTGGGATCGAAGTTGTCGGGGTCACGCTGCTCAGCGGTTGTATCTGCACACTCATATCAATAGCCATTCGGAGAGAAAGAGCAAACAAAGTAACGTACCATCGAAATCCTTTAGGCCCTGCCGAAAGTCTTCCTTCAGAGCAGCACGAGTGAACTACAAAAAATGCTATCAGCCGGCAATAGCCTAGACAGTGCTTAAACTCTACATACCTCTGACCGCCTCAAAGAACAGACTGCATTCTTCTTGCGCTGCGCCTCATCTTGTCTCTTCTTCAGATCGGCGAGTACTCCTATCACGTCTTTCCTGTGATATCGAAACTCATTCAACTGCGACTGATTTGCCTTGAGTCCGTCTCTCGCTTCCTGGATCCTCGCCTTCAAACTGTCGATAGTGACGCCACCTGCTTCTTCGTCTTCGTCTTCTGAGCCGGATCCAGAGTTTGAGCCATTCTTGTCCCTGTCCGAGTTCTGCTTGTCAATGCAGTCCGGGTTGTCAGAGTCCAATTCGAAATCGACGACTTCCACCATAGCGTCATCATCATCGAGTATAAAATCATCGATATCATCAACACTCATAGTTTCATCCTCAATGTGATCGAACTTCTGCTTCTTGGGAGAACACTTCGCACTACTGGAGCCGTTCTTCCGCTTCTTGCCAGAAGGAGACTTGACCTTCTTCCTCTTGTCGAACACGACAGTCAGGCGAGGTTCGAATTTGGTCCCGTTCTCGAGTGCATTCAGGTGCTCCTTATATTCCTTGAGATGTTCTTTGACTTCTTTCATGTCCTTCTCGCGAGCTGATACCGAGTCATTTTATTTCATGTTCATATATAAGAATACCAACGTACCTCTAATATTGTATTCGGCATCCACCTTCTTTTGCTTCCACTCATTAAGTTGATCGTTCACATCTCGGATCTTCTCCTCAACTTCTACAAGATCTGGGCTCAGCGCTCTGATAGTCTCTGAGCACGAGATGTCATCGCATTTGGTAGCTGAGCAGCAATGAGCTCAACAGCTATCACAATGCACATGGTCGCTTACCAATGAATGTAATGGTGCTCGCGTTGTAGCTGACCTGGTATTAGTTTCCTTCACTGTAAGTCCGAGATCCATACTCACTTTCCGTCTGCAATCGTGATCGGTAAATCCAAATCCGTCAGCATATGTACATCATGGTCGCCAATGACGCGCACCCACTGGAAAAATGACTCTTAGCACTGTTCTTTATATGATAATTCTCACCTACTCATGAGCTGCGTCCTAAAGGCGTTTCCCATCAAATCTGATAAACCCTCAACCCACTTTGCAAATTGTTTAACGAAAATTTGGAATGACGAACCCCGAGCGTCCTTGTTATCCACCGCACGCGTGATTGGAGCGAGAATCCAAATGCAGTCGCAATTCTTCATGTAATCCTTTGCGATAGTATTGCGGGCTGCATTGGCATCTGCGACGCCAGGCAGGTCGACAAGAATTGCACCAGAAGACAGGGCATGCGCGTTGCATTTTATCTTGACCTGACTAATCAGCGGCCACAGCGCGGGATCATTCGAAGTGCCACATCCCCTTTCACCGTTTCTATCCTTGTCCGCAAGGCTCGGTTCCTGATTCTTCGACTTATCTTTGCCCTTGAACTTCTCGGCCTTCCTTCCACCACGCTTCTCGTTTGACTCAACATACTTCTCAATGGCCTCTGTAAACTCCTTGGAGTTGGCTGCAGATATATATTTCGTCGTACCCAGGTTTGCGGCAACCCCTATGTGAGTTCATCAATAGTTCTTCGAAGTATTGGAAAAGAAGGAATTACCACGGTTATGCTTAATGATGTCATCGATCGACATCTTCGCAAGCATGTCTTGGGTTATCGTTGGGTAGACGGCATGTACCTGAGCACTTGTCATCAGTTGCAAGCAGCTTCGCAATGATATGAAGGACCACCTTCTGCCACGCGATACCTGCATCGCTCTGCAAATTATTAGCTCTCTTGACATGGCCATCCTCGTCGACCAATTCGTCGAGTAAGACACCGAGCTCTTGTCGCCATTCCTCCTCCGAGAGGAAAGACACATGTGCGTCAATAGTCTTCTTATTGTGGTAGCCAATCTCGGTTACCACGGCAGTACATGCTAGAAGAGTAATAAGACCTTGTGCCAAAATCGAACTCGACTTAATCACCTCGTACTCCGCTGGTAAGGACGATATTGTCTACACTATAGCATAAGCGACCTGCTTCGAACCCAGTTTATTAGGTGCAATGTGCCGCTTACCATCTAAGACAGCATTCAGAATGGAGGACTTCCCGGCACCAGTGGCTCAAGTGCAGCATTAGTACATGATGCTTGTGTTTATTGCGCCAGGGAAGCCTCACCTCCACACACAGCAATCACCGTCACAGGAGTGGTTTTGCATTGTAGACTGAAACACATTCAGGACCGGGTTATCCTTCTTATAGGACAACTCACCTCTCGATATCATGCTCCCAGATTTCCCTTCGCAGCTTGCTGCCCATGTTGAGATTCTGCATGTTCATCTTGATTATGTCCACCTTTTCTAACCCCTCCTTCCACGCGTCCTCTGGTGAATACTTGATGCTCTCCGCAAATTCATACGTCTTGTATGGCGCCACCGACTGAGTGGCTTGGGGACAGGGCGTGGGCGCTGGCGTTTGCCTT